TAAGGTAAATATTGTCATTGTAGATTGAAAAAGCAAGAATGTGTTCATGACATTGACTGTATTTATGAAATTTGTAGCGCCACTTTCCTGTGTGCCCAGACTCTTATGGACACCCTTTTGAACACACAATAAAATGACTTTTAAAAATGAAAAGAAAACCAAATCAAGAAAAATGTCTCGCGGCCATAAAAGTCCCCATCAATAATGCGGTTGTACAAGTTCAGCGCGAAGAATGAAATTCAATCCAACGGTGCTTCAAGTAATATTTAGGTCTATCCACCCTTGAATCAATTTCAAGACAAGCCGTGGTGTCTTGGTCTGAACACTAGGTGGCACTCACGTCATGGTGTTCATGACAGACAGAAAAAGAAGTGAAAAAGACATGAAGAAGAACTCTGGAGGTTAAATGAATCCTGAAGCATATTGTATTGACTGTGGAGCTGTCAATAAAATGACCACAGAAAGAAATCCATGCCTGGTTGCTGAGAAATCACACAGAACAAACACAAATGTCCGTTGATTGTCCTCTTCCGTGCTCTTAGCCACTTTTATCGAGTGATTTGGAAAAATGCCCTGGCGCTTGGTGGTGATGCACTCTTCACATTCAGGCAAACAGCTATTTGAGTGGCCAAAAGAAAAGAAAATTGGCTTCCGTTTATGGAAACATTCAAATCAAAGTACGAAACGTGGACATGGATCTAATCTTGTATGAAAACATTTAACTTTATGAGTGCATGGATGGAAACATCTTTAATGGTTTCTAACGAACAACACTGCCGATATAATGTGCCGAGTGGCCGACAACGCAACAGAACTACCTTAGCAATGACAATGTAGGACACCAACCCACCAAACGTGTGCTCACATAGTAGCTGGAAGACTTGAACTAAGTAGGTAATCCCAATTTACAGCACGTAACAGCCTGGAATTGCAAACAATTACACTAAGAACCTCCTCTTCCTCAATTCTTGAGACCCCCGGTTCCCCTCAGATAAGTTTTCTACGTCGCTTTAATTGATTTCAGACTGGCTTTGAACACTTGCCAGAGTGAGCCCTGCTATTCTTATCTTGAAATGACGTCACACTTTGGGGTTTCTCGCTCGTCGGTATCTCACTTCAGGAAAATGATTCCTTTGTCAAATTTCATCCATCCATTTTCCGGTCCACTTATCCTCACAATGGTCGCGGGGGGTGCTGAAACCTATTCCAGCCGTCTTCGGGCAGTAGGCGGGGGACACCCTGAACCAGTTGCCTGCAAATCGCAGCGGACACATAGATGAACAACCATCCATGCTCACGCTGGTCGCGGGGGGTGCTGAAACCTATTCCAGCCGTCTTCGGGCAGTAGGCGGGGGACACCCATAGATGAACAACCATCCACGCTCACACTTACACCAAGTGACAATTTAGAGTGTTCAATCAGTCTGTCGTGCATGTTTTTTGGAATGTGGGATGAAATTGGAGTACCCAGAGAAAACCCACGCAGGCCCGGGGAGAACATGCAAACCCCACACAGGGAGGCCGGAGGTGGAATTGAACCCGGTACCTCTGCACTGCGAGGTCAACGTGCTAACCACTGGACCACCAAGCCACCTTAAGCCTAAAATCACTTGCGTCATTATTATGGTGATGATTATTATCATTCAAAGGGACTTAAACAGAGCGGAGCAAAACTCAACCACGAACTTCCCAATAATAAGCCGCTCACGGCCATCCTGCCAGGGTAAAAAAGAAAAAAAAAGGCTACAAAATAAAAAAATAAATAAATAAAAAATTACACTAAAAAAAAAAAAAAATTACACAGAGAGACTCACGTTTCTCCAAAACTGCACATCTTAGGAAACCTGCAAAGGCTGCGGTGAAAAAAATTTGAGTGGATCAATGAAGCAAAGCTCGAACTCTTATGAGGCTTTTGGGATTGCACAGGTTAGTTTGGATGACTACACTGCTGCTGTAGACTGTAAATTTCCCCATTGTGGGACAAATAAAGATATCTTATCTTATCTTACACACACACACACACACACACACACAGACGCCCCATTGAAGAGAGCACAATGAAGGACTGGCTTGCGCCGAGGGAATCAGTGAAAATTATTGTATTTTGGTGCGTTTTTGTTGTTGTGTGGTTAAACGCTGGTGCAAAAGTTGCTACACCTTGGCCAAGTGAAAATGATGAGGGTGGAGAACAAAGACCAAGAAAGTAAAATATGTTGATTGAGGGTGGAGGAAAAGTGCCAACCTGGGAACCAAAATGTTTTTTGTTGGTGCGGCATGCCAAGTCTGGAAGGCAGCCAGGCCAGGTGACTCTGCCTTTTATTGGTCGAAATTTTCCAACACAGGTCCATGAAGGCTGTGTCTAGCAGTGTGGGCATGTCCTGCGGCGGGTATTTATTGACGGTGGCGGAGGTTGTCAGGCATCTTTAAGCTCTGCGGTCATGGATACGCCGATGCTAACCTTCACCGTGTTGCTACTGCTGCGGATGATCACAGGTGAAATGTTTTTCATTTTTTGGGGGTGGGATGGGTTAGAAAACGACTTTTCCACGCCATCCTTCTTTCATGCATGTTGGCCTGAGTGCATGCGTTCGGATGGGTTGTTCTTAATGAAAAACAGCAAATGATTACTGATGCAAATTATGCTGTGATTGAAGGCAAATGGTCAAAATTGACAGGGAAGCACGTTTGACTTTCTGCACCACAGTAGGCTAAATGTTTGAGTGTGGAGGCACCGTTTTTCATTGGGGTGACTGAGTCAAGACTCGCGACACACCTTTTCCAATGTGTGGTGCTCGTTTTAAAACAAAGGCTGCGTTTCGTCAAGACGCTGCGTTTACTTGTCCGCAGTCAGCACCACACGATTGATTGATGAAGGAAACGAAACGGCATGTGCTGCCCATGAAATGTCAACAATTTTGTGTGACACCTGGATGTGTTCTTTTTGTCTTTATCATCATTAGAATGCGGAGGGCAACTAGGTGAGTCGCAGCTTCGCTTCTTCCCTTCCTTCCAACCGACTTTCCTTCCTCACTCCATCTTTACCTGTCTTCCTGATTGCCTTTTTCACTCCCTCCCTTTCTTCCTCCTGACCTCCTTTTTATCCTTCCTTATTTTTTTCCCCTCAGTACTTTCCTTCATTCTCCCTCCAATTCTTTTCTTTCCTTTGCCTTTCATTTATTTCTTCTAAAAATATGTCCAGGAAAATTATGTTCAACCATTTTGATTTGGAGTTGCTGTTTTTTCCATTTGTCATTTAAATGGTGCATTATGTATTTTACGGGGTGAATGTTACACCTTTGTGACCCACGTCAATGTGTGTGTGTGTGTGTGTGTGTGTGTGTGCGTGTGTGTGTTTTCAGCGTGCGGTCAAGCGCCTCTCAACAATGGCAATCCGGGGGCCACCCCAGGTGCGTGGCCCTGGCAGGTCAGCCTGCACCG